CTCTCCCTCCCTCCCTCTCGCTCGCTCTCTCCCCCTCTCGCTCACTCTTTCCTTCTCGCTCGCTCGCTCTTTCCCTCTCGCTCGCTCTCTCTTCCTCCCCCTCTCTCTCGCTCTTTTCCATCTTTCTCCTCGCAAAGCGCGCTCTCTGTCCCTCCATGCGCAAAGCAAGAGCTTGGCTGGCCTCCCGAGAGCGACGCCGCCGCAGCGGCTAAAACAACTCCGGGAAGAATGGATTAAAGTTAAAACTTGTTATGCGAACAATTGCCAGCCTTTCATTCTATCTTTTTTCCAGCTCCTCCGTGCGTTTTCGAGCAAGCAAGTACTTTTCCCTCTTCCATTACTTTCTAGTACTACTTTCGTCCCCTGGGGTCTTGCCCATTATCAAGCTCTAAGAAGCAACATGCGGATGAGGGACACTGCTGTTTGCAGCAGTGTGTACAGAATTAAACAGGGACCTCAATTCACGTTGGAGGACGTAAACTCATCACAATACAGAGCGTTCCGTAGCGAACGAAATTCATTCTCGCTAATAAAGCTCGCAACGCACATGTGAAGATGTGGTGTCTGAAAAAAGTATCTATCACGTTTCTTTTTTAACACGTGAATGTTTCCATTTTTAATTTTATTGAGACTTGTGATTTGATGATACAGAATTTATGTAAGCATTTGATACATTTCGATCCTTCTATTTATATACCTTATTTGATAGATTTATTAACCTTCTATTTCATTATTATTATTATTATTATTATTGTTATTATCATTATTATTATTATTATTATTATTATTATTATTATTATTATCATCATTATTATTATTATTATTATTATTATTTATTATTATTATCGTCATCATTATTATGAAATGTTTATTGTAGCACAATACTGTATGCACATATAGTAGCCCAAGTGGAAATGAATTTGCTTTCACGAGGGCTGATTTCTTTCATATTTTTCGCATTAACACTTTGAGAATATTTTTTTCGGAATATATTTATAAAAATATGAATGCATTTGAAAACTAAGGGAACATGTCTGTACTGATTCGTATTGATACCTGATTTCATGCCATTGTTGATTCGCAGTTTCATTTTATGTTGAAAGTTTTTCGTAGATATTTTACAAAGAAATTAATGCATTTCACATTTGTTTCACACAAGACGAACTTCATCTAAGAAGAAGACCTTTTTCACGACATAGCTGCCACAATGTAGAATCATTATGAAGCAGAAAAAGTGGCAGAGAAAATGGGGACGGAAACGTACTAATAATTCTACTGCAACAATTCGTTTATAATACGCTATAACGCTATACGTTTATAATCTAGTTTTTTGGTACGAATATTTCAGTTTTAGAAATCACAATTCGACATCCTGTATTCATCAACATCGACACCTGAGCTGCCAATATTGAGAACCAAAAATTGACATTTCAAATACCCAAGGTATCACAACACTCCTAATCCACATCAGAATGTGCACGAGTCTATAAACAGTTACAACAAATGAAATTTGGTCCCCTGTTTAGACTTCTCGCGACGAAACACCGCTTCACGACCAGCTACATTCAATTATTTCGAAACCTGTCACTCACACAGAAATACATAATTGTGAGCTTGGTACGCATAAAACGTCCCTCGCTTTTCTTCCCTTCCGCGAAAAATCCGCGGAGAGAGGAGACGAGGGTGCGACGATTGGAAGGGGTCGCGTGGGCTGCGGACGTCTCGTCTCTGGCTAATTCGAAAGGACTTCCAGGGCACCCCCTTTCCCTTCCCCTTCCCCACCCATTCCCATGCGGGGTGCGCGCGCCTCGGAGCGGAGCACAAGTAAATAGGAGCGCCCGCAGCACAGTGGAGGAGCCGCACGGAAGAAATGGCAAAAAACAATTTAAAAAAATTAGAAAAAAAGAAAGAAAAAAGTAAAAAGAAAGTAGAAAGGAAAGAGAAAGTAAGGAGAAAGAAAGTAAGAAGGAAAAAGAAAGAAAAAAGCAAAAAGAAAGTAAAAAGGAAAAAGAAAGTAAAAAAGGAAAAAGAAAATAAAAAGAGAAAAGAAAGTAAAAAGGAAAAGAAACAAAAAAGAAAGACAAGAAAAACAAAACAAAAAGATGAAATAAGAAAAAAATATATGACGAGGTATACTTTACTACTCACCAACTATTATCATGGCAGTCGCCTAAAATGTTATTTGGACCATTGAGAAAAAAAGAGTCGATTTGATGTTAGTTGTTTTATATCTGGGAATGTCTTAACTGTGTAAAGTAACAGATTGAATATGTTTCTATGCAGTATTGTGTGCGTGATGATGTACCCCGAAATATCTTAAACGAACTGATTTGATTATTAATAATAAACGTAAAAAATATTGAGGTGTAAGAAAAGAAAATAACAAATGAAACAGAGACAGATTCACAAAAAAAAAACAATAAAAGAAACAACAAGAGATTTTGTGACACCCTCTCCACTGTGGTCCAGAAGGCTTCGATCTGCACGATGTGCGACGCGCGCTTTCGTATTCCGTCCGCAGCCTGTTGACCGGCGAGACATCGCAGGGGCTCATTATGCTAACTGCACGCGTGCGCTCGCGCATTGCCCACACAGTGTTGCCACTGCGGCAGCGACAAAAAAAAAATTAATTGTGCCAGGTACGATCTAAACAGGTTTGTAATTTTAAGGAAATGAAATTCGTCGCGTATTGTGGACGGATAATAAATTTTCACGGTATTTAATAGCTTTATCCATTCTTTCGTAAAATGGCACAACGGCGCTGTTCAAAATACGAAAGCTCCGTGAGAATATGCCGGCAGTTTCTTAAGGAGTGTTTACTGCGCAAACAAACGGCGGGAGTCGCCTTTATTGCGGGTTCCTCCGAACTTTTAATGAAGCAATTTCGTTAACGGCTGGCGAATCATGTTTATTCGAGCCCATAGGGAGATCCAAAGCAAGCTGGAGAACTGGCTGCTCGAAGATTCCGGTGAAGCAAGTAAGCATTATTTCACCCTCGCTTGGAACATAAGTTAAAATCGAACGACTCAACGCAGTATTAAAACAAATCCAACTAGCCCATCAATCATACTCTGAATTGAAATAATAACACAATTTGTAAATCCCAACGAGTGCTCTGCAAAATAGCTCTTGAATGTCCTGACGGGATTCATTTAAAGAATTAGTCACTAGAATCAATGCGAAAATTCAATCACGATACCGTGTATGTATCGATCACTCAAAGGAAACATTCAAAAAGTAGTATACGAATATTTGCAACATTGGAAATTATATTTGTAATGTTCTACAACATTAGAAATGTATCCTCTACAGATAACACCAACAATAAATAAAATGATGTACCTTAGAAAGCAGAATCAGAACATTTTACGAACCAGGTACCAGCTAACTAGAGAGTAGTAACATATTTAATATTTTCGGATGAGAGATATAATGATGATATAATTATGCATTTAATTTGTAACATTTTAAAATCAGAATCAGTTTGAACTGCACGATATTCTACCATATATCGTATAAAATGCCACAGAACATGGTCAAGAACGATAATATACGGTCTCCGCTGCATGTATTACAAAATTTATTTGATTTTTCTCTGCGCCATTTCAACAGAATCAGAGAAAGCAAATGGAAAGCACGCATTCGCGGTGGATAAAGTTACGTAGGTGTGATTGATCCGGAGAATCAATATTTTAGGATGGTTAGGGAAATTCACTGAGCTCCGAATCACGTGGAGTACTGTGCCTTTCAAAGAATTTTTCTGAATGTAGTCATAAACTCTTTAAAAGGTAACAATTGCGACTTGACTGTTTAAATACTTAAACATATCATGACACTTCAACCAGTAAAATGCTAAAAGAAACCACACATCTTCATAATAAATTTTGAATACCATTTTGAAGATTTTCTTTTTGAAATGCGTACGGTACAAGATACTCCACACGAAAAATTAGCCACTATTACTGGACGCAATTCAATTTTTTCGCCTTATGGAAATAACGACTCAGGAGGCTTGCCAAAGCTCATCCTCATCTGATTTCCTTTAAAGGAACTCTGCAACCACGAAGAATTAATATTGTTTTTTTGTCGTTTTTCTTTCTGAATATCTTACCTAAATCGCCAATAATTCAGCAAACAACCATGATGAACTCGAGTAGAGGCCTAATCAATGAGCTGAATCTCCTAGCATCTAGACCTCCAACCAGAGCTTGAACTCATCGCCGACGAAACCTCCAAACCGGATCTATAACAGCAAATCAACACCGACCGAATCGCCACTTACCATCAGCAATTGTAGACTGCTGCCAGAACCCCGACTACGATAACACTTGCAGCTCTGCTTTACCTACTATATGAACGTGCGCCATTGGACCGTGACGTTTGGATTAAAGGTAATTACTGTTCACCATTTCTATGAACGTTGAAAATCTACGTTCGCAAAGCCCGAAACTACGGATTGGAATTACGCAACACAAAATACCTGTGTTCCAGATCGAGGATTTGATGAGATTTCATATAAAAGGCATTCAATAGCAACAAATAACTTCATGTACACGATATTTCTATATACCGAAATTTCGTAATGGCTGACTTTTTTGCCCAAACGTTCTACCTCTCATTCGCTCATACTCTTTACATCTAAAACGTTTCACGATGAAAGTCGTCAAATTCGAAAACTTGTTTAACTGTCCACAACACGAACGTTTTATACATGAATATTAATTTGAAAACCTAGATGAACTGTAATCATTAATTGCAATATGTTAAATTAAATATTAAAAAATGTACTCAAAAATAATTATTTTTACTCGCTTCAGGGAATTTGCCATATCGACAAAATACCAATTACAACAATTCCTATATTATCACATTAAGAGAACAACATACAACGCAATACGAGTTCAACTTTCTTCGAGGATCAGGGAAACTGGACGAAAACCGGATCGAGATGGGGGTCATTGACCCAGAAGCTAAAGTACAATACTTGTTACAGATGTTTACAATTATACAATGCAAATGGTATAAAATACATTAAATGACATTTTAAAAATTAATATTACCTTCCTTTTGGATGCTCGGTATAGTCTCCAATCGTGTAGAAACAGTTGTACAGCAGAAAAGATTTTTACTTGGGACTTAAATGTTTGTATCGAATTTCATCGTTTAATGTTTAGTCTCTGCGGTGACATCAGTTGATGCCTTGAGTTACTTCTTCCAGTAAAATCAGCCCGCATTTTCGTCCCATCGAGACGCGCGCACGAGGTTTTTGGTACAAAGGCGCTAGGGCGGAAGGAAGCTGCACGGACGAAAAATTACACACAGCGGACTTCATTACCATAAAACACGGCTTTAGCCCACTAATGAAGCGGTATTACGAACGCCTGGTTCCACACAGTGGTTTTCTCGCTAATACCAACAATTTACAACCACCCGCGGATGCTTTTCGGTGGTTTGCGACGAGGCAGCACAATTGTTTTAACTTTATTTCTCGTCTCTCAACGATTTACGGGGCGGAGTCCAGAATCACAATTCAGAGCACGTTGTAAGAGTGCAGTGGTCTGGAGTACCGTGGACTTCATGTTTTTGTTCAGTTTCTCTTGAAGTTCGTGACCGGGAAAAGGGAACAATTTATGGTTAATTTGGCTCCATCGCGAAGACCTGCCACAGAATTGTGGAAGGACGGACAGAACAGCTTCTATCGTTCGATTCGATCCTCGATTACGAGTTTTTTCTTACTCACCCATTTTCTTTTATATTTCAAGCTCATTTGTCATACGGATTGCTGCTAATGCTGCGTACATGGAACCTAATTGGGAGTAATGAAAATATCATTCGTAATTTTATCATAATATTATGAGAAAAGTATTTAGCTACTTAGGTTACTCTTCCGTAAATCTTTTGGAAGCTTAATGGAAAATTCAACAATTATGATAATAATTAGAACTAAACATCGCGTCATTTGCTACTACAAATAATTTAATAACACAAATACAGAATATTAAGACCCAAAAAAGAGAGCTGTTTCAGATACAGTCCTTCTACCAAGATGCTTGATACATTACAGAAAACATAAAACATGTGATATACTGATTAAACAGGTCTCAAAGTCTGAGTTTCTAAGTTGAATATATCCGTATAAATTTCCAGTAAGGATTTAAATCTATTTTATGGCCCAATTATATATGGTTGTAAAGTTTGTAAGAAGCCTGGGATTAAGAACACACATTGTCCGGTTAAGCTCCGGTAAAGGTCTCATTTTAGGGTCCCACACTAAAACAGTTGTACGTGAGTTTCAGAATGGTCATATGTTTTGGGGGTAATTTGTTTTGGTTCTAATTGTTCTGTTTTAATATTGCTTGATACTAACTTTTAAGCATTTCTAATCCTGCATTAATGATTTTATGATACGTCCCAAAAGAGGAAGGCGAACAATTAACTTTCTATAATTTGTGAAAACATTACGCTTACAGGATAAACAGAAATGTTGCTCTAGACAAAGCACTTTCAACGAACTCCCTTACGGAGGACGATTCGGCGACGAACAACGCAAACGACAGGAGGCGCACATTCAATATAATGTATATAATCTACGAATTGGAAATTATCACTTGCTCACGCATGACAAATCTCACCAAACCGATTGACCGCCACTAACGCACCACGCAGATTATCCAGAAGCATCTGCCGCGCCGGCGCGCGCGCGTGCGTGAGAGATTGAGAGAGAGAGAGAGAGAGAGAGAGAGAGAGAGAGAACGCGCGAGAGAGAGAGCGATAGAGAGAGGGAGAGAGAAAGGGAGAGAGAAAGCGAGAGAGGGAGCCAGAGCGAGAGATATAGCGAGAGAGAGCGCGAGAGCGAGAGAGAGAGAGCGAGGGGGAAGAGAGAAACAGAGGTAGAATCACAAAGGACGCAGTGAACCGTCGCAGGTCGCGCCATGACAAACTGCCGCCCGTTCCGCAGAAACGAGATTGCATCGATCAAGTGAACACTCTCATTAGAGGCGCGCGTTTGCAAAATAATTCTCTAAGTACGTTAAAATTCCCACATGCACTCCCGCGCCCGGCCCTGCCCTGCCCAGCGCGGTGCTCCACTCTCCGGCAACTCGTGCAAATCAATTCGTTGCCGGCCGAACGGGCGACGGCGACAGTCCGCTAGGATGGGGGTGAAGGAGAGCACACTGACGATCGTGAACTCTACAAACTCTAAGGCGAGAACGATGCAACGCGAAACCACACGAACTAATAAGAAGTGCGAAGTCGACACACAAGGAATGAGGCAGTAGCGTAACGAAATGAGTACGTTTTTTTCGGGCTCCCTTTATAATAGTGTATAGTGAACATTATTTTCATAAATAAATTAAATTAGTATGACAAATATCCCCGAAAAATTGGCCCTCTTTTACCTGGACTCGCCCTCATTGCGGACCTTGCGGGCCCCAACGTCACGCCATTGGAACGATCTCTGATACCGAGTGAACGAAGAATAAAGAAACAGAATTGAATTAATGTCTTATTTTACGTGGCGAGACTCAGGCCATGAGGCCCACGCAAATTTCGCTACGCTCCTTTCACCAACTAGCAGAGGAAGCGGGTATTTCTTGGGCGAGAAACAGGCGATGTTTGAATGTAGCTCAGAGGCATCATTTAGGTTTGAGGATCTTTTACATGCAAGTAAATCTACTAACATAGAACAGCCGGCTTTACTTCCCCTCCAAAGGAAGGCGTACGAAGGATTTTTTTCGTCCTTAAAAATCCACGGCGTCGATCGGGTTTGAACCCGCCAGCTTGGGTACAACAGTCCGATACGCTAACCATTACACCATCGCGCGACAGAGGCGCGGAAATCGTAGGTGGACTTGGAGCGGTCCGTTGTCGAGCGGCAGGAGGGGGCAGGGCGGCCAAGCTGCGAGGTCGAGAGCAGGACGGTCGAACGGCGCGGGCGGAGGGGGGCGGGGCAGGGGGAGGCGGCCGTCACAGCGTCTGCACACACAACGCCCCATCGCTCCCCGAACGCGCGCACTACAACCACTGTACACAGAATCGGAGGAGCGTTGACTCGAGCGCAGCCCTGCAAGCCGATGTTCAGGCCGTGAATTACGGATGCGAGAGAACTGCAGTTGAAGGGTACTTCTGGGGGTTAATCCTTTCGAAGCTCGTGTTTAAATTATAACACAGCATTTGTTTACGAGTAATATTTTTATACTCAATTACGATTGGTAATATTGTGATAATCCATAATTTCTGATCAAGGTAATACATAAATACAAAAAATCATTTCAAAGGCGTCTCTCTAGAATAACAAAATAAAGATTAATGAATATGATGATAAAGATTAATAATGATGATGTTTGGCCCTAAGCCGCCATCCTGATTGAAGTTTTCTGTGTTTACTCAATCGCTTAAGGCGTATGCCGGGATAGTCCCTAGATTTGTACTCCCAGACGTAAATGTACAGCTTGTCATCTCCTTTTAAAATGTTTCTATTCTATATGTATGTATGTATGTATGTATGTATGTATGTATGTATGTAAGTATGTAAATTCAGTGGTTAGGCGGAAGAGCAGGCCCTATGGCCTAAGCGCCAGTAATAAAGCCATTATTATTATTATTATTATTATTATTATTATTATTATTATTGAATATGTTCAAAGCATTTCGCCTAACTCTTCGACAAAACATAATTTGCTAAGCAGAATTGAATTTACTGTCGAAAGTCAGAGAGTATATATCGACAGTAAGAAAGTGCAGATAATGCACTGCGTCCATCCGGGTAGGTAAGAAGTCAACCATAGATGCAAAGCTTAACGAGAGAAAAAAAAAGCGAAGCGACAGCGAGCAGTATAGAGAAGTGGTTGAGCACGTGCGTGTAGCTTATTGCTACGCGCGACGCGCACCCCACGCGTCGCCAGAGGCGACTTCGGAGCAGATGCGTGCGGAGCCAATGAATGATCTTCCCGGAACTCTGCGGTCGTTTCCAAGCACTGGACCGTTCGCAACATCTTGCCACTCGCTGCGTTGCATCCTTGTGGGAAGAACGGACCCCTCCTGAAGGAATATTGCTACTCACGCCCTGGCCGAATTCAGGTTCATTGTACGTGGGAAATGTATACAAAATTATGACTATTTTCCTTCACGGAAGTTTCGTTAATATCGCTTATTTCGAGAAGTAACAGAATTGAAAAACAAATATGAAACTAGGCTGCGTTCACAAGAGGGAGTCCATTAATCTTCTCATCAGTTCGTATC